GGCTCGGCTCTATATATAAGTCATAAATGAAATAAATCTCCCAGCTCAGTCGGATGGCATAAACACGCTTTGAAGTGCAAATTACCCGCGGGGTCAGCCAATCGAACTCAGCTGGGCGGCGGGGCGGAGGTCGAGCACAGGAGGCAGTTAACAATACGCGGTCATAATACATCTTTGAAAATCTGTTTAATGGCCAAGCCGAACCACTTGAGAAGCTTTTGAAGCTGTCGATATTCTAAATTTAAACAAATAAACAAACACACACACTCACACACACACACAGAAAGGCACCTGGACTGTTGTTGAAAGTTTATTGTTTTTGAAAAATGAAAAGGAGAAAAAAACTATTTCTTTGCACCTTGAGCATCCGTTAATTTGCCACTTGAAAAGTGCAAATCTTTTGATTCATTGTCAGCAAAACAAATTGAATGAAGAAATTCGGCATCAGCGTTTTCTTATAGATCATATCAAACAGTGCCCCCAGCGCACGCCACCTGTGCATCGATAATTACCTGTGGCCATTTGATACGGAAACAATTAGCACCTTCCAATTAATACGCCTGATTCTCTAGCTGTTGTTGATTCTATAATGGAACTCTATCGATTTTGGATTGAATTTTGGAATAATTGAAGTAAATGCAAGTACTTTTATTATATACATACATACATGTACTCATATATGATTAAATATTGAATTTCCATTTCTGCTGAGCGCGTATCTAAAAAACGTCTATACCCGACTGCAAATCTCTCATTCATTTTGATATGCCTTCTATATTTTCAGCAAATGAAATGGCTAGACATATTAAATAGACTGGTTTGCAATAACAATTAAAATATATTTCTTTGTTGAATATTATGAAATGAGCATTGAGCTATTTCTATTTTGTAAACAAATTATTTATGCTGCAAAAGCAAAAGATTGAATACAAAATATTTATTTAACGCAACTAAATATTTAAAAAAATAAAGAAATAAAAATGTATTTTTATCATAAAGCAAACTTTACATAAACTTGAGTAAATGTACCTTGTGTATATATATGTACATATGTATGCATATAATATAATATATAAACAGAGAAAATGGAAAGGCAAGCGTTATTTGAGATGATGAATACATAATTATATAATATAAAATAATATAAAATAATATAATATAATATAATATAATATAATATAATATAATATAATATAATATA